GATCTCGCAAAAGTCCGTCTTAATTTTTTTTTCTCCCATGTCCCCTGCGGGGCTCCGTAGTTTTGTGACTGATTTGTTCAACCTTAAGAGGAAGGAAGGCCACAGAGCTCTGAAGGTCACGTTATCTGCAGAGCAAACACTCTGCAACACATTTTGGTGAAAAGAGTAAAAGAGTGCATTTAATACTTCCTGTAAGAATTCACATGCAGGTGCATGAAAACCTCACCATCTCTCGACCTCACTAACACCTTTTGGTTCAGTTTCAGGTTTGGGTTAAAGTCACGTGTGTCTGTTTCTTTAGCGTTTGTTATCTGTGGACGTTTTCAGTTTGGGTGAAGGTGTGATCCTCTGTCTTATGCAGATGCACGAGAAGGTCAGCACTGACCTGAGCGTGGTCCCCGAGAACGAGCCTCTGGATTCGGACACGGAGGCCGAGAAGAACCTGATGGAACGTATCAAGTCCATCAAACAGGAGAAGTAAGATCTCGGCACTTTTCAGTTCCTCATGTGTGCCGTCTTCATCGTCCAGCTCCTAACGCACGTGATCTCCTCTTCATCTCACCTCCAGAGAGGATCTTGCCTGTCGCCTGCCAGAGATGGAGCAGCCCGGTTCAGACCAGGAGAATCTCGACTCCGAAGCCTCGCTGAGCTCCGAGAGCCTCTTGGACGAGCAGCAGCGCTCGGCTCACAGCTCGGAGCCTGAAGGTCAGTAGTAAGGTACAGTCTGGACTTCCTTCCTGTTTCTGTCACCTGCGGGTTTCTGACCAGACCGCGGGGCCTGCTGGGCGGGGCCCTTCCTGTCTTTTGTGGCACAGGTCTGGACCAGTGATGGTGAAGGTGGGCGGTGACGTCTGCTCTGTAGCAAAGCAGGTCGGAGGAACGGCAGCTGTTTGTGTGTTTGTGTGCATGTAAACGCATGTGTGGCACGGCTGCATGCTCACATTTCACCCAACGTTGATTTGCTGAACGTTTGGCGTCCAGATCAGATCAGATCTTGTAATCGTAACTCATTGGGTGTATTTTTTGATTTTTCTTCTTGCATGACATGGTTGCATGATCTTCCTTTTCCTCTTTCACTCTGCTGTGAGCCTCTTGGTTAAATATTCCTCATCCTTCCTCTTTCCTCTTCTCTTCCAGGACGCGGTGCTCATCAGCTGAGGAGATCCAAACCGCTTTGTCTTCCCAAACTTTCAGATCCG